TCTTGCGTGAACGTGTAGTCTTCCTTCTCCATGAGGGCCACCTCGGCGCGGCGCTTCGTCTCTTGCTCCTTGCGCTCGCGGTGGTTCTGCGTCGCCGACACTGTATCAAATGCGGATGCGTTCGCCTCCTGGTTGACTTGGCGCATCATGGCGAATCGGTCGACCGGCATCTTGAGCCGCGGCTCGGCGGCCGGCGCCGGCATCACGCGCTGCTTGCTCATCCAGCAACGACCAGAACACGAAACGGCACGTAACGAGACAATCACGGAGGCCACAATGAGATTGGAATAAGTTCTAGGAGCACAGAATCGAGCTGAGCTAGGCGATGGGATAGTTGGCGGCCACGTCGATAGATTGCTGCTGCCTGTGCTACTAGCTCCACCGGTCCCCCTGATGTGCCACGTACATAAGCGGTGGCTTGCTACGGTAGCGTCAATTCGCTGCTTAGAGCTGCACGACAACGCACGGCCATGTAGCGTAGGACGATGACATGTCGAGGTTTTGTTTTGTCGGGTGATACGTGGCGCGACGAGAACAAAGCGTTGCGTTCTGTTGTTGAACCAATGGCACAACACGACTGTAGGCTGCAAGTAACCCCAACCAACGCGAATGGCCTCGGCGCGCTACCGCTGCGCCGCACGGCTGGACGGATACAGCTCCTGCTGCGGTTCTAGTAGGGGAGAATGCATTCCTTCTCCATGGCTGACCTTCCGCTGACGCCAACCGTTCAGTGTGGAAGGAGATTGCAGAAGGTCGTTGTCGGATATGGCCGACGGCGCGAGCTCGTGGCAGCCGCGCAAGCTGGTCGGTTCGCAGCCGCCTGACTCAGTCACCTCGATGCAATCTGCTGCCGCGCATGCCTGGGCGCAACCAGCTCTAGAGTTGTTTGATATTGCGCTTGGCTTCGTCCAAAAATGGCCTTTCTTCCTTATGCGCCAATCACAGCGCGTTCTGCCACTTTGCGCAAGGCCATTGGTGAAAAAGATATCGAATCTTCCGAGGACGGTTTCTTCGATTTCGAACTGGGGCCGGCCACGGAGGAGCGACCGGTGCCCATTCCACATCCGCCGATGGACCGCTTCAGCTACGTCCGCACGCTGCGGGATGCCATCTACGGCAAGGTCATCCTCGCCCGGCGAAACGCGAGCAACCACGACGAGCTCGTTGCGATCAAGATGATGAGCCTCCAGCACCTCGCGGCGCGCACGGCGCTGCGTGGCAACCTCCACATCAAGGAAGATGGGTACGAGCTCGCAAGCAAAACACGAGCATTGCTTCATGCATGACGCTAGGCTGCAAGAGTTTGCTATCTTACAAAGTCTGGCGCCGCATGCGTCGCTGCTGCATCTCCTCGAGGACTTCGAGCACGACAACATGCTGTGTCTGGTCTTTGCCTACTGTCCATACGGCGAGCTGTTTGACCAAGTGCACGGGCCCAACAAGACGTCACGAGGCGTCCACGAAGCTATCGCCGCGCGCTGGTTCCGTCAGATTGTGCTGGGCGTCGTCCACATCCATGCGGGTGGCGTGGCCCACCGCGACTTGTCGCTGGAGAACATTTTGCTCGATGCGCAACAGCACTGCCGGTTCGTCGCCGCGTGAACTCGCCCATGGCTTATGCAAGCACGTGATAGGATATGCGATTTCGGCTTGGCGACACAGCGCGGCGACCTCGCCACGGGCCGCGTCGGCAAACCCTTCTACATGGCCCCCGAAGTGTACCTCGGCGACCACACCAGCTACAACGGTGCGTCTCTGCAACGCCAGCTCTGTAAGCTCATCTGTTCTTCGCTATTAGGCTTTACCGCCGACGTGTGGTCCCTCGGAATCTTGCTCTTCATCTTGGTTTGCGGCATGCCGCCCCTGGAAGTGCCTGGCGACCACGACGCCCGCTTCCGCATCGTCCGGCAAGAAGGCATCCGCGCGCTCGTCAAGATGTGGGGACTCCGTCTCTCGGAGCGCGTGCTCGATCTGATTGCACAGCTTCTTCGCGTCCAGCCACACGAGCGGTCGTCGCTCGAGACCATCTTGCAGCACCCATGGCTTGCCGAAGTGGATGCATGCGAGGCCACCCCCGCGGTCGACTGCCGACCACCGACCACGACGACCGCCGAGGTCGACGTCATGCGATGCGACGGGAAGCGCCACGGGAGTTGCATGGCCTACGTGGCCTGAGGTCCAAGTGTGTTGTCGTCGTCTAGTACCGTGTATATGTGAACGCAGATTGGGGTGGGTATTAGTGTACCACGCCATTGTCTTGGCGGAAGATTCGCAGCGCGTGGACGGAGCGCACTTCAGAGAAATCCAAGGGCGGCGTTTACACTGAGGTGCCACTCTCTAGATTCCTCCGACGTGGAGGCCTCGGCGCCGTCGTATGTGGTCGCTGGGTGCCGACTTGCGGCCCATTTGCACTGCGTAGTTGGTGGTGCAATGTGGCGGTCCCGGTGCGGCGCCAGCCTCGTAGACAGGCGCCGCCACTTGTTATGTGCGGCCTCATACACAGTGCCCCGTCGCTGCATCTGGTCGCTGGATCAGACCGCGTGCGCCTGCAATTGTCAATGCTTGCGCGTTCTGGGAATCGGTGACGCACCCGTGTTGCTCACACCTCGGATGCACCGCGCGTCACGAGATGGGTTGAGCGGGTGCCTTGAAGAACCAGTGCGGCCGCGCTCAAGCGGCGTGGCCGTGGGATGTTGCGCACTCGCCGCATCGGTGACCATGGCGTCGCCTTCGCCGTCGGCGTTACCGTCGTCGGCGTCGTCGTCGTCATCGTTTTCGCCGTCGTTTCCGTCGTTTTCGCCTCGCCGCAGCCCGTCCAGTCCACAACACCGCCCAGTCCCGTATAAAGTACACGCCTATGTCCACACGCGACACGTCTCGCACTGTTCATGGACAAGAAGCCCACGATGAGGAGGATGGTGAGGTCCGTGCCGGGAACGACGGGGCGGCGATCGTCCAGCACCGAGTCGACGGGACCAACACGACAAAAAAGCGTCATTTTTACAACGCGTTAAATAAAAAGGACGACGACGACGACGACGGGACTTATAAGCTCATGCTCGTGGCGTCGTCATTGGCGCGCATGGATTGTTCGACGAGCTTGGCGTGCGTCATGCAGTAGCCGGAGCGCTGGCTGTTTTTTCCACAGCCCTCGTACTTGCACGGGCGGCCGCCGCCGTGGCACTTGCAGCGGCCGCGCGCCTGCGCCGACCGCGTGCAGCCGGGCTCGGAGCAGCGGCGGCCGCCGCCATGGGCGATGCAGTGACCGCCGCCCTGGTCGGAATCTGCAGCCCGCGGTTTGGCAGCGCCGGCCGCCACCATGGCCCTTGCAGAGGCCGCGCGACCGAATGCCCTTGTTGCAGCCGGGCACGCGGCAGAGGCGCGGGTTGGCCTTCTCGGACGCCGACGTCGGCTTGCGCGCCGGGCGGTACCCTCCGATGTCGTGCGTCGACCCCGTCGACGACGGTGCGTTCGACGACGGCGAGTACGACGCCGACCCGTGGCGACTGCTGTACATGCCGGCGTTGGCGTTGGTGTTGAGCGTCGTTGTCGGTCGCCCGTACGGGTGGTGCATGCCTTCCAGCGCGTCGAGCTGCGGAATGCACTGGATCGCTTCGTCGAGAAAGTCGGCGTCCAAGTGCTTGTAGCGCTGCCCTTCGTACGACGGCAACGGCATCGGCGCGAGGTTGTCGTGGCCGTAGCTGTAGTTGCCCGTCGGGTTGGCCGCGTACGACTGCGGGTACTCGTTGTAAAAGAGGCGCGGGTCCGTCGTCGTCGTCGGTGGATTGTACTCGCTGTACGGGCCCGGCGCGTGGTGCGTCTGTGTCGGCGTCGGCGCCTGCTGCGGGTTGCTATAGTCGTACGCGTTCGGGTCGTACCGGCCGCCGTGGAGGAGCTCGTACTTCATCATGGCCGACTCGTGGTCGTAGCGCGTCTGCGCGTCAATGGGCTTGTTGGGGAAGCGGTAGCCGGGAAAGCTGTTCATGCGCACGCTGCTGCTGGCCATGGGCAGACGAAGCGAGAAAAGATGTGCGCGGGCCGGAGCAGATTCCCAAATGCTCTTCGTGTCTGTCAACGCGGCCAGACGCTGGATTCCGAGCGTGACCAACGCCCACAGACAGAGACAATCCCACTCTCCAAGCAACCAGCTCAGTTTGCCCTTCCACCCATCCTGCGTCGTCGACAGAGCCTTCGAACACAACCATGCACGCAGCTGCGCCTCCATATTCCCTTCTTCCCAACCAGCGCATGCTGTGGCACGCCGCACGAGTCCAATGGTCATCGATGGAGACTGCTGGCAGTCAAGTCAGGACGCAGCTGGTCGCAGGTAAACATACAACCGCGCGCCCGTCGTGTACGCACCGATGGAGCGCTTTGTCTTTGCGCCTTTTTTTGCAGTGGGATCAGCGTCCGTCGTTAAGAAGAGAGAAGAAGGCGCCATCCCGTGGTATACTCGGTGGGTACCGAACCTAGCACCGTGAGCAAGCGTATCTGGTGCACATCCTCGTTAGGGTAGTGTGGTGACGCGACCAGTGCGCAAGGATCCAGTACGCGTCTTGCGGGAAGCTGTGCGTCCAATAGACGTCCGTCTCATGCTCACTCAACGGCGATTATGGGCCAGGGCCACGGACGGTCCTGGGTTCTTGAAGGCACGACCGCGTAATGCCCGCCATATGGCGCGGACCTTGACGTTTAGTCTTACGGAGCTGCGAACCACAACGCCGCCGCGATTTCCTCCCGCAGAGACCGACCCGATATTGCAGTGGCTGCCATAGTATGGTGCACATGTTGTCCTGCGTGCATCGTCCAGAAAACGGTCGTTGTTTGCATGCTACAGACACGACGTTGCTGCTTGGATTGCCGTTTGGAGGGAGCCGCTGCCACGTCCTCATGGCGGACAGGCCGACGCTGCCACCCGGCGCGCATACATAATGCACTGTCGACGGCGGTGTCAAGGCGGTGCATATAGGTATGAATATTGAATATTACGTCGGATGCGTACAGGCGGAGAAAAAAGTGCGTCCACGCTCGTATCTCTGCCGACTTTCGACGGCAAGACCACGCGTGGACGATCCTCGTCCAGTTTAGCCAGAATGGGCAGAACAGCCATCCTAGTAATACACGCGGTCGAGGGGTGGCTGACTTGTAACGCCGTCGACGACGGGTGGTCGATCGAGTCACCCATGCAACGACAATAGTGTCACTCCTCCTTCGCCGGCGACGACCAGCGATGCGACCTGGTCGTTGCAGCGCTATCGTCATCGGGTTTACTGGCGTCACTGGGTGTTGACGGCCATCATTATTGCGCGTCTTGATGTGGTGATAGACACGCAAGGCGCCAACCCCGAATCTGTGTTCCGTCGTTTGGTTCCTTGAACGCTCTCTCTCGTTTCGTAGCTGATTTCATCCGCAGCCGCGCGCAACGTGACGGCTTCTTCTTAGTTAGTACCCTCTTCTTCTCGTGCTTTATTACACTGCGGCAGAAAAGAAATGCTAACTGCTCGACTGGTAGTACTTGAGCTGCACGTACGACAACATGTACACGGCGCGCTCCAGCGACACCGACGGCGGCTCTCGGGCATCGACCGAGCTGCAGTCGTAGCACTCGGTGTCGAGGGCCGTGAAGCGTAGAAACCGCCCCACCATCTACACGAGGCGTGAGCAACAATATCGTTGGTGGAGGTAGTACGGTGCGTGCGAGCCGGACACTCTCCAGAATGTGGTTGGTGAGCACGGAGGCTGCGACGGTCGACGTGTCGGTCTTTCGAGCGAGCTGCACCGCCGCGCGCTTGAAATGAAAGTCGTCGGCCATGCTAATGCGCTTGGCGAGCCAGTCGAAGAAGCTTCGCGTGCTCAAGACGCCTACGCACCGAATCTCAAACCACCGAATCTCAAAAACTCATTCACGACCTTTGGTGTTCATGCGCACGTTGGCCACGAACCCGTCGCAAGCGTGGTCCTACTCCACCCTGCATTGTCAATATGCCAGGTTTTGGTCACTCGACTTGAATCGCAGTCGACGGGTCGAGGCGCAAAAGGTGCTGGCCCACGAGACGGAGCGATTTGTCGTCGCTAATCTCGACTTCGGCGGCGGCACATTGGGCCTTGAGCCGCATGAGATACCACCACGCCGACTGGTCGACGGTGCCTACGACAATGCGAGCGTCGGTCTGCGTGAATCGCTTGCCGTACCTCCAAACGCGCATCCAAAGAGCTCAATTTGAGGACTCTCGGCTAGACGGAAAAGAGGGTTCACCCTTTCACATACTACAGCAGGATTGGCGCACGAGAAAACTGGTCGACGGCCTGCAAGAGTGCGAAAAACGCCAGCATCGCGACGCGCTCGTCGCCGTACCGGTCGCGTAGCAAGCTCCAGACCACTTGCGGCAGCGTCCATATCGGCTCGGCTTCAATGGCCAACAGCGCAGCACGTTTGTGCGTGGTCTGCCCATGGCGGTCTGTTTCAAATTCTCAAAATCGTTATCGAGAGGGCACCTCGTACTCGGCAAGGAGCTTGTCGCATGCGCGTTCGGCCTGCGCGACGCGAGCCCAGACGAGTCCGAGGAAGCGCTCGAGCTCGTCTACGTTGAGCCGATGCGCTTGTTTCGGAAGGCGCTAGAAAATGATGCCATCGATCAATCTGCCTGGAAGCACATCCGTCACTGGTACATTCTGGGTATACGCGAGGCGTCCAGAGCACACTGTCCGTGGCCAACTGGGGCGGCGCGAGCAAGGCTGCGAGCGACGGCTCGAGCGATTGGGACTCCTACTTGGGTTATCTGCGCTCGATCCAGCAAAGAAGCGTGCATGGTATACCACCGGGCTCGCCTGCGCAATGTGTCTAAATGAACGCGTCCATCAACCTCGTCGTCGATCGTACGCCTCTACGGCCGCGAGTTCGTCCAAGACGCTGCATATGTCGTTCAGAAATGAGTGACGCAGCCTACACAGTGTCCATCGTTCCAACTGCAGCAGTAGTGACCACAAGAACTACGCGCGCTGGGTCTCGTCGTTGCAAAAGCGCACGGCGAGGTCGTACTCGGCGATGCGCGCATTGCGCAGCAGCAGCAGCTGGAGCTCGGTGCGGAGGGCTTGGTCGAGGTCGCGCACCGCCGGCGACGTACAGGTTGCGTGGCCTCCTACTTGACTCTTACAACGCGTGTTGCTCCTTCTGACGCTTGGTACGCTGCGAAGGGCCGTCGATTGCATCAAACTGCTGCCGCATCGCGTCGGCCTTTTCACGGACGGCGCGGAGGTCGCGAATCTCGGCTTGGTACCCTGCAATGGCCGTGTTCATCGCATGGAGCTCCCTACATGATCATCGTATTGCAGTGAAAAGGCTCCATCCAGGCGCGACCGCTGCATCGCGAAGAGCGTGGCTTTTGTATCGTGCTGGTGTTGCCGCGACTCTTCCGAGAGATTGTTGTACGCTTCCCGGGCACTGCTCGCGTCAGCTATGCATTCATTTTGTCGCATTTGAGAACGACACGTTCTTGTACATTTGGACTCGAGCAGCTCGCCAAATGCGTCGTCGAGCTGGCACCGGTACTCGCGCTCGCGCTCAAACAACGACCGCTTCTGCTGCTGCAGCTGCGCTTCGCTCGTCGCCACCTCTCTCTACTCGCGCATCGAGTGCACCGCGACGTGCGCCGGTCGATACCTCGGCCACTTGAACGCGCGTGCGCTCGCGGTAGGCAAGGTCGAGCAGCAGAAAGCACGGGACCTCGCGCAGTGTTGCGCGCGCCTGCATCTCGTCGACGGTTCCCGTGTCGGCAAACACGCCAGCGTCTGCAAAGTGGCGGGCCGTCGCCTCGTCGCTAGTTGTTGCATCCTACCATGGCATGCCACGCATGGCGTACTACCTAAAGATGGCGCTGCGGAGCGCGCCTACGCATCATTGGATTCTGGAATGATTCAGGACGGAGCATCCATTTGTACGCAAGAGCGGGCCGTAGAGGCCAACGTCGTTGGCGACATCATCGGCGAGCGCAAGACAGCCTTTCACCCGCTGCTCCTTGCCAAAGAGAGGGTTCGTCGCTTGCTTGGAGTCGAGGATTAGCTGCTTCAAGCGCACGTCGTATGCGTTGATGGTTGACCGAGGCGTGCTCCTGCGCCCCTTCATCTCTTCACAAGCGTTTCGGCGTCTTTGGCTCGGTGGACCCAACACGACCCATCGATCGTCAAGCATAGATGATCGATTGGAGCGTCTCAATTGGAGCTTAGCGTCTCTTAGAGCCACATGACCGACTGCTTAAAGGGCGGTGACGTCAAGAGCTCTTCGTGGCACGCAGCAGGACAACTGTGCTTCGCGGAAGGAGCGGCGTCGTCTCGCCGCGCCGGGGGCAGGTACTTGTGCACGCGCATCATGGCGACAACGATCACAGCCGGTAGGATCTCGGGCAGCGTGTACAGGACCCTAACGATGGTTAGCACGAGTGTCTTTACATGCAGCTAGCACCAGGGGTTCACCGCTTGGTGTGGACACGACACGACGTACAAGCCGGTGACGCTCTTGAAGAGGAACGAGACGCCGCACGTGAGGCCGAGCCACCACACGCGGGCGCCCAGCGACTGCGCGAGCGGCGAGAGCTCAAACGACTGCAAGTCGACTTTGAGCCGATACGCGCCACGCACCTATGAAACCATTGGATCGGACGAGATTCGGATTCGAGTAAGATCGTAGTACCAAGAGGCAAGCCAGCACAAAGTAGAAGAGCGACTCGATCACGTCGCGCGAGCTGTTGAGGAGGTTGGTCTTGGCCATGGGCAGCAGCGTCTTCCATCGACTTGTGGTCAACTCGATGCAACCAAGGACACGGCAATGTACCTCGGCCAAGAAGAGGATGGCTTCGACGAGGTACATCCACACGTTGATGACGACCACGTAGCTCTTGCTCGACCGGCGCGGCGCCCTCCACCGACTCTCCTCTAGCATCCCGATGGGGTCAGCCGTCGTCATATCGAGGAGAGAGCAAGTCGCACGGCGCACGGACGTGACGTTGCGCATGTCGTCGTAGAAGCGCAGCAAAATGGTAAACGCCGAGACGTACAAGAGCGTCGCAATGTGCTCCCAGAGCGCCACACCCAGCGGGAAGAGGTCCATGTCCATGCGGAAGAACTGATGCAATCCATCTCAACCCCTTCGATGGAAATAGGTGGTACCGGATTGTACACGTACGTGTGCTCAAAGGTTCCGTTGACGCTCTTGGCTTCAAACGCATGCACGTCGAGGAGGATGAACCACGCCGCCCGACACGCAAACGCGCCTGCCGTCACGAGTGCCAAACAATTCAACAGGATTGTGGTATACCTGTGAGGAGCGTCGGGAACCAGCGGAGCCGGCGTACAGGCAGGAGCGGCGTCGCATGACCTGCGAGACTATACGGGAGATCGTTCGGGATATGGCCTGGCTGTACCGTGCTCGAGGAGGTTGCGCGACCGGTGGATCGACGTGGTCACGATCCACGCGAGCGCGAGCAGGTACATGGTCGCGCAGGTAGCCTCCGTGGAGGTCACATGAATGCAGTGCTCGTACCCGACGAGGCAGATCGCTCTCGGCAGCGCGTCGAGGTTCATGCTGCGCAAAATCGCCAAGTGCGGCCTCTACCGCCGGATACTCGACATCGTCGTTCGGATACAGCGACGTCTCGTCGCATGTTTGGCCGCCGATTGCAAGAAGCAAGACAAAGGGCATAACAGCACTGCATTGATGTAGATACGACCAGCGCAGGACGTAATTTAGATGTACATAATTCAACTACCAAGAGGCTCCGAGGGACCCGACCACAAGACAGACAGGTCGCAGGCGCGGGCTTTACATAATGCCGCACTACACATCCACACCATGAGCACAAGGTAATACAGCTATCCGATAGCACGTACGCCTTCGCCGTTGCCCTCCTTCTCCTGCTCATCGTCGTACTCGTCTTCATTGATGCCTTCAGCGTGCGAGCAGACGACTTCGCCCTCGGCGTTCTTGACCAGGGCGACGTCGCCCTTGGGGTTCCAGATGGCCTTCTTGACGGCGTAAAAGTCCATCTGATCTTGCTCGCCTTCCGGGACCGTCGGGTTCTTGCCCGACAAGACCGAGACCTTGCCGCCGGGTTGAATCACGTAGTCATCCGGGAACGAGAACACCTAGAGCAGCGTTCAACTGTGAGACCCCAAATGTTGCGAGTGTATGGTAATCCTACGTGGTTGCTCGACTTGCTCGTGATTTGCCACCCGTTAAGGGGAAGCGGGGTCGCGCCCGTGTTTTCAAGGATGATACGGCCCTCGTCGAGGTTGAGCTGGCGGATGCGGAAGTCACCAGACGCGTGGGTCTTTCGCCGCTTCTGCGCGCGCACCGAGTGCGGCGTCGACTTGCGCTTCTTCTGGGTCGTCGCCTTGGGCTCAACGCCGAAACGCGTCTCTTCGCGGTCCAAGATGCTTCGGTACGCGGAAATTTCTAGACCCCAAAGTAAGCATTCTGACGCATAGAAGAGCAGGATGACAGTACCAGCATCGAGGGCAATCTTGATGTCCATGAGGTCGTTGAACTCCAAGTCCTTCTCCTTGCGCGCCTTGCGAGCGGCTTCAATGTTGGCTTCGTACGCACGACGGTCCTCCTACACGTAACATTTCGTACACATGGAAAATACAGGGGCCCGTCAACATACCTGGAACTTCTTGCGGTCGGCGCGGTACTGCGACTCGACGACGGCGAGCTTCTCCGTGAGCGACTGGCGAAGCTTGAGGCTCTCATCGTAATCGTTAGCCGTGCGTTCATTGTCGGTACGCAAATCAGTGATTTCCTTGGTCGCTTCGTCGAGCTGCGAGCGGAGACCTTCGACGACGCCTTCAAAGTGGCTGCGCACTTCGTTCTCGACAACCTGCTGGCGCTCCTCCGACTCGCGGCGCCACGAGGCAAGCGCTTCCGAGTGCTTGGCGTTCATCTCCTTGCGGAGAGCAGTCATCTCTGAGTCGCGAGTCATTGAGAACTCGGATGTCTTCTGCTTCAACTGTTCGAGCTCCGACGTGGCATCGTGCAGGCTATATACAATCATACGCTTTCTGGTCGCATACAGGTGCAAGTTGCATACCTCGCCAGCGTCTTGCGGTACTCCTTCTCCATGTCGTTGAGCTTGCGGCGCTCGCTCTGGAGAGCCGTCGCGTTCGACGCGAGGGCCTCCTTGGCAGCCTTGCAGCTCTCCTTCTCCTTGGTGAGCTCGTTCTGGACTGTCTCGAGGTATGTCTTGGTGTTGTTGAGCTCCTTGACCTGCTCGCGGAGCTGGACGAGTTCGTTGTACTGCTCTTTCTCGAGGTTCTGGACGCGGATCTTGGCCTCACGCTCTTCCTCGTACTTCTTGCGGACTTCTTCGAGCTCCTTGGAGAGACGCGTCTTGGTCATGGTCAGGTCAAGCTGCATGCGATCGCGGATGGACTCGAGCTCCTTCTCGGCGATCTCCTTGGAGTCTTCGACCTCCTTGACGCGGAGCACGTACATCTCGAGCCGGTTGTTAAGGGCCTAGGAAGCGCTCCATGAGCCGCGGGTCTTCCTCGAGCGCATATACCTGGAGCGTCGTCTTCTCATCCAGACGCTTGGACTTCATGGGGGAGAAGCTCTCACGCTTCGATGCCAGGGACGACGACGACATGGCGACCTGCGCTGCTGCTCGACGATTCTAAAATGGGTCCTCCCCTCCATACAAAGTTCAAGGTACTAGGGTACCCCCAGCAGCCTCGGCATTTTATTCGCAATTTTAATCTCCTTTGAGATTTTGTATGCAATTTAAACCGCCCTGTCGCGCGCGAAGCCGAATTTCAAAAGGCGCCAAGCCTGAGATTCGGATTTGGCCTTGGCTTTGTGCGCACACTATCTTGCACTTTGTATGCAGCCTCGAAATTCGGACCAAATGACTGCAGCCAGTAATACCCCCCCGGAATGAATAGCGCGGTTTGTATCATGAAAACCCTGTTCAAACGCTAATGACTTTAACGTGACGTCAAACGCGTTTTTCCGACCTTGACGTTAGCAGCACCACATGCCATCGATGATGACCCAAAACGCATCATGGCCGGAGCGACCAGCGACAGCGAAAGCTTGAGTAGTACTACGGAGGTCTATATCGCCTTGCAAAGCCGTAAGCCTGGTTTTGCTTGGAATCCTTGGACAGCACTGCAGGAGGCTAGATGCAGCAAACAGCTTCCTCACTCCGCTTGCGATGTCGAAACGATGCAGACTCCGCTTGTGATGTCGAAACGATGCAGAGTGGGACATGGGGTCGCACGACCAAGACAAGCGGGCACCTGTTGGTCTTGCGGACCCTATGAGTTCTGGTCCTTTGACGTGGCCAATTCGTGAAAAACTGCCCGGCTTTGAAACCTATAACTCGCTTTAACGCTTAAAACGCTTCTAGAACCTCTTGGCCCCATGGACAAGGCCAAGGCAGGCCCGCGTGAGGACAACATGAAGATCATGGTAGGCGTCGCATGCGAGACGACGTAGACCATGCAGCGCAGGTGCATGTCCTCGACAAGACCATCGTCGTCTCCTGTGGCACGGGCAGCCAGCGCGTCCAATGGCTCGGCCACGTGGGCATTGCGCGCTACGACGAGGAGCATCTCCAGGGCTGGCTACAGCTTGGTACAGGCTCTTCTGCCACAACGGCGTATGTAGCTGGTGCTAGGCAAGCCGGCCAAGATCACCTCCAGCACCGGGGTCGCCTTCCAGGCCAACGACGTCATTTGCGAAGTTCTCCAGGATAAGGACCACGTCTACGTCGAGCCAACGCGACAGCCATGACATTCTTACGCAATGCGTCGTCTATTCGTTGCGCGCGTTGTACGCAGGCTCGAGCACGGTTCGCACAAAGATCTCTTCGTCTTCGATCGAGGCGTCCGGGCAGAGGGCTTCGTAGACAGCGACGACCTCGATGAGCTCCGAGAGCTTCTTGGCCTTTTTCTGCCGTCTGTATGAGACGACGTAGCGATCGTATTGAGGCACGAATACCTGCAGGAGGCGCTGGAGGTGCGGCGTCGGCAGTCGGTTGCGCGTCGCGCCCGCGATGTGGCTCAGGTGGCGGGTGGCAAAGGCGGCTTGAAATGTGGCCAACGCTTCTTTGGCCTACACGCACATGCGAGCGAGGCTACTGCAAACAACGTACGTCGGGACTGGCGCCGTGGGCCATGTGCCACAAGATGGGCAGGACCTTCTCAAAGACCGCACCGTGCGCGCGGCGCCAGAGCACGAGCTGCACGTAGTGTGCGGTCGGCGACTGTGCATGCGCGGCGGCTACAATGCAACCATGATGGGTTTTCGCACGACTCTCTACCGACGGACCCTGCACAAAGCTCTGGGCGGCGTCCATCACGTCCGCAATCGCCTTGGCCTCGGCCTTGGACCACTTGAGGTCGTCCTTGATCGCGTCCATACAGAGCTTTTGGTCGCGCCACGCCGGTTGGCTCAGAAACTGGAAGCTCGCGGCGACGAGGTCGGTCAGTGGTACCTCGCTATCCAATGGCATTTTCCAATCGTCAACTTGCTGTGTGGGGTGTACCTCGGCTCGGCAAGGAGCGTCGCTAGGGCATCGGCCCGCAATGTTGAAGTCGCCGGAACGGCGCAGTGCACTAAGGCCGACGCGAGGAGGTGCGTCGGGTCGTACTGCGCCTTGTTCTAATACAAATCCGGTCGATCAGCGCCAAAGCCAAGGCTTCGCGCGCACCGCAAGGGTCGCCGATGGCGGCGCGACGTGCTGCTGTACAAAGGTGATCGAGCTCAGCATGTGCGCTGTGAACGGCACGTTCGAGAGCCGTGGCAAGAGAAGGGGCCACAAGTGCAAGTCCGTGAGCACGCGCATCGCCCGCGCCGGGTCACTACCGGCGAGCATCTTGCGTACCTAGACCAGCCCATCGAGCGAAACGATGAGCCTTCACGACACGGACCTCGATGCCAATGCGCTCGCGGCTCACTTTATGGGCCAGTGCGTCTTGCACTCGCTTGTCTTTGGCGGCCTAGAGGGGCAACGAAGAAATACCGACACCATCACGAGGCCATTTACGTCTAAAAGCGCGTCGTCGAGGGTAAAGTTGTAATGACACGCAAAACGGATCGCGCGGAGGACTCGGAGCGGGTCGTCGAGAAAGGTCTCGAGGGGTGGCAGCGGCGTGCGCACGCGCTTGGCGGCGAGATCCGCGAGGCCCTAGATCGCCGTACGAACCCCGTCCGGACCACGAGACACGAGCGATACCTGCCCCGTGCAGTCTTCAATCGTCATGGTCGAGAGGTTGAAGAAGAGCGCGTTGATGGTAATGTCACGTCGCAGTGCATCCTCGGTCGGTGTCGCGGGTGTGTCTAATGCAGTCGGTTCGAAAATGGGATGCGTGGTTGCTTGGAATACAGTACCCGACAAGATCGGGATGCGCGACGTCGGGTCCGCGTACGTCTCGGAGCGCAAGTGCACAAAGTCGAGGTCGTGACCAAGCAGCTTGACGGTCGCGCAAGCAAGGTGTTTGCTCGCGTCCGTGTTCTTCTTCACAATGTAAAAGCCTTTGGGCGCGACGCCACTCGCGTTCTGGAAGGCCAAAATGTGCTACGAGACGCCGAGGTCGGACGCACGGTATGAACCGTCGCCAGCGTCGTACCTGCGCAAAAGCCTCGCCCGTGCCAACGTCGAGCGCAATGTCAATGTCGTCGCTCGGCAGGCCAAGGAGCTTGTCGCGGACCCAGCCGCCGGCGACGCGCAGCGTGACCTCGGGCGCCGACGTGTCTTTGATGAATTGCAGCACCTGGAAGAGCTTTGTCTCGGCCGCCGTCAGCGATAGCGCCGGCGCCGCCTGCTGCGAGAGCCGGCGCACGAGCTGCGGCCGCCAACACAGTAGTGCTCCTGCTCGCATGCTGGGTTGTCGTCCAATGGCATGCCCGAAACGCTCGTTTCCCACGTTTTTCACACACACGTTTTTCTCATGGTGCATTTTTCTCGAGCACCCCTGCAAATCACACGGTGTAAAACGTGAGATACGTACGAAAAGCCATCAACGCAGCTCTCAATCGAGCTCAGCGTGAAGACGCAAAAGCCACCCTGAATCTCTACTCGAATCTGCACACGCATCCACCGCGCAGTGAAGCCCTCTGTCGCAATATAGGTCATTGCTTGCATCGATAGCCGATGCCAGACTCCAAGAAAGCGAGCACATCGAGTCAACCAAGGCTGTACCGGTACGAGCATCGTATTTGGCGGTATCTATTACAAGGGCCTGCTACGGCGTGTGGTGGGGCAGCGGCGGCGGCAATAAATACGTCGTGAGCTGGATCATCTCGTACACGAACGAGAAGACGAGCGAGAAGAGCCAGAGGTAAAAGTACGTCAAGTTGCGCTTCCCAATGCACTTGCCGGTCCACGGACAGTGGTGGTCGTACTCTAGGACGCACACCTTGCAGTCCGAGCAGTGGCTCGCGCTACGCCAAGCACGTGTGAGCAGTTGCATCGTTTTGCATGGGAAATTGTACCTCGCTGGCCGGTAAGACGCACAGTAGTCGCAGTACGTGTCGCTCGGGTGCTGCGGCTCGAGCGAGACGGGCACCACGCCAGGGTCTGTGCATGCAGTGAGCGCATACGCGAGGAGCGACCCGAGGCAGAGGCAGAGGCCGCCCCACGCCTCGGACGACGACACTTGGTCGTTGCTCAGGACGACATGGACTGTAAAGAGCGCAAAGACGCTGAGGAGGCCGAACGTGACAAAGAGCAGCGGCCAGTGCGGGCCCACAGAACACCAGCGCGGGCCCATGCCACAGACGAGCGACCGCGACCGGAGCACGACCGAGTCGCCACGATGGAAGGCCCGCTCGACGTAGCAAAACGGCAATGAGGACGAGGGCCGCTCGACCGGCGGCGCTTGCTTGTCGCTGTCGTCGTCTGTATCGCGCCGGCTCTCGCCGAGGAACTGGCGGCGGCCCTCCTCGACGTCGGTCGTCGGTCCCATCGTCACACAACCCGTTTGTGCGAAAATCGAAGTCAGCCGAGACCCGGCAAATAAAACATCCTGTTTTGCGCTAAAATACGACCGATAAGAGTCTATTTGAACGCTTCCTGCAACGTTGAAGTTCGATCGTGGACTGCAATGGGAAATTAACACATTGCGCTTTTTTGTAGCACTCGCTTGGCGTAGTCGAACTATAGTCGATATGTAGTCGAACCATACCAGTCGAAACCTAGTTGGCAAGGTTGGCACACACAACACCGCCACCGTCGCGTCGTTCACCCTCGAATTGCAGCCTGACTAGCAGATTTGCTTTGGGCACTTGCTTCTTTTGTAGCTCTCAAGTTCGTGCATTGGTTGTTGCCGCGTGCCGAGTTGGCGTCACCACCGAGTGCACCACTGCTAGGACGACAGGTGCCCATGACGCATGCTCTTGCAAACGCCGCAGCCGGCTAAAGCGCGGTAGCCACTGTGACAACGCTGAGGTGTCTGACGTAGCCCAGGTTCGCCCAAGATCACAGCACCGAGATCACACGATACTGGGAGCCAAGGCGTAAAAACCACGATGCCCTTGCGTGAGCCGCGGACCTTCCCTTCCTGCGAACCGTCGCGCTCAGAGATCGCACTACAAGCTTCTACGGTGACTCATCGCGGCTTCGAAAATCTTGAAGAATCGCTTGCGAATGTGGCTTGGACGTTTCAATGCCATTGCCTCCGTCGTCGCACGCCTCTTGTGGTCGCGCGCCCGCCGTCGCTGTCCGCCTCCGTGGCAAGAAGGACCTATTCATGTCCTTGGTGACACGAATCCGATGGAAACACTCGGAACCAGAGTACAGACCAGATCCACTCGAAGGAACGATATCCCTTGTTTTCTAAATCCCACAGCGACTCAATAACGTACTAGCGATTTACCTGCCAACGGCCAAGCGTCCGTTGCGCTCATGGGCAACGGTCACACTCAAATTCGATCAGCCATGCGTTGCGTGCTTCGCGCAGTCGTGCTTGTCCTTGCAGCGATCGCGACGACGACGGCGCTTTCGGATGCCATCTCGTGCTCTACGATAGCGAATTGCCCGACCGTGCCGTGCCACACGGTGAGCGCCTGCTCGTGCGGCGTCTGCCACTACACCCAGCTCGCCGCCAAGACGCTCTGCCCGGGCCAGAGCTGCTCCAACGGACGGCCCTGCGACGACGACGCCAAGGACTTTTGCAACGCCAACGGCAAGTGTGTCGACGCCGTCAAGCGCGCTGGCACCAAATGTGAGACCCCGTGCTTTAAGAATGCGAAATGCGACGGCGAGTCCGGGATGTGTCCAGCGACCAAGCCGTCCCGGGCTGGCACTGCATGCACAGGCAGCAACAACGACGGTCTCTGCGATGCGCCGGATACGTGCGATGGCGCTGGGCAATGCAAAGACAACTACAAGCCCAAAGGGACGCTGTGCCAAGCGGGCGGAGGCTACTCGAACAAGCCGAGCTACTACTGCACGGGCACTACCGGGACGTGCGACTCGAGCAGCGTCGTGCTCGCCGCGGGCAAGGCAGCGCCCGTCTACGAAGAGAGGAGTGGTGCGTTCGTGGTCTCGGCCGCGTATGTGGCCGTCGGCGTCGCCGGGCTCGTCGTCGTCGCGGCGGTGCTGGTGCAGCAGCGCCGTGCACCGCAAACAGTGTTGTTTGTCGACGATGGCTACTTGCCACTGGTGATGTAGATGGTCGTCATGTGCGTCGACGCTGAAGAAGAAGGTCTGCCAAGTCGACACCATCCATAAACGAACCGCTCAATAAATTCGTCTCGTTGTCAGCAAGACTTGGCCGCCAAAAAATAGAACCCCGTAGATCGCACCACCATGAAGCAGCGAGACACTGGACATTCCCAGCGGCCCATCAATCCGAGTTGGAGCTTGTATGAGCCACCAGGCAAGTGCGAGAGGCAATACTTGCAAGGAAATATCGAGAATATCGAGCCCCTCCGTCGAGGTTAGGGTTTCCTCGGACGCAAAATGCCCGTTGACCCACACACTAACTGCTGTCGCACGGCTTGCATTGCATCTTTATTTGGCTCCTAGTACCCTTGTCCTGTCTTTTCCATTGACGGTTGCGACCCAGGGGTTCTATGTACCCGTATGCACGAGGTATATGCGCGAGCTGAGGACGTCACCAACGCCATGTGCTCGTATGTCCGTGGCAGGCTAGCGAATAACAGGTCCCGTGCGGGGTGCGCTGGTAGGAACTTTTGAATGCGAAGCGTTGTTTCCCGGTATTTGCGACGACGGCGCGTTGGCCTAGACAAAAGTCAACACGCGACATTCGCTGCGCTGCGGTGCGCAGACTTTTCCCGGGCCAACGCGCCGTCGTCGCTTGCTGCAGTCTTAGCGCGCTTTCACATTCGCACCTAATCGGAAAGTTGCGTGAATTTCAGTCAAGTACGCCGTCGTACTTTATCGAATTGGTTAGCTTTTTTCAAGTATAACGTCCGGCGATGTGACAGCACTTAACGGGAATTCCTAATTCGCACTTAACAGGACGCATTTGGCGTGATATGATTGGCTCAGACCATTGAAACTGCGTTTCATTGGTCAAAATGGCATTATATATAGTCAATGGGTTGGCCGGATTGAGACACGACACGCCGAATTAATCCCCTGGGATGCTGGTACACCACGTAAACGTTCCTACCAGGATTAATCCCCTGGGATGCTGGTACACCACGTAAACGTTCCTACCAGGAAAACCATTGCTGTACTTCGGCGGTCGCAGGGGTCAATAGAAGCAAGGACCGCCTACGCCTACGGGGTGCCGAATTCTTGTCAGAACGAGCTGACAAGGCGTGGCAGCGGCGAAGAGACTTGCGCCCGCAGGGCGCAAAGGAGAGGCCAGAGATACAAATTCGAGAGTACATTACATAGATAACTTATGGTAGCTACGCTGTAGCTGTGCGCCAGTCGTGTAGAAACGGCGTCCTATTGGTCGACACCGATTCCGTAGCAACACCGAATGACGTGGCAGTCGGTAGTGGTTGCATACTTCAACAATTCTTCTCTCCTTCTGATGTTCGCTCTTTCCAAACATGTTCGGATGCTGCGGTCGACGGACGCGGTCGACGGACCCATGAGCGACGTCTTCCACCGAGGGGGAATCTCTTGCAGAGTGCCTTCCATACAACGTCCGTACAATCTGCTTACGGTTGTACAGCCGTGTGGGTCTTAAACGCCAACGCCAAGTGCCGGTGTGGACCTTCTGCTTCTCGTTTTTCTTCTTCTATGTTTCCGTGGCCATGCGCCAATTTGTTCATTTTTCAAGCCGTGATGATGCAGCGACTCGCGCTACTGCTGTTGGCAGCGACGGCGACAGGCTTTGAGCTCCTCGAAGCCAGCGCCACGCAGTGCCTTACGGTCGACAACTGTCTCTCCGTACCGTGCTACACGAGTGCATGCGCCGACGGCTACTGTCAGTACACGCAAGTACGCAAAGGCACCAAGTGCCCGAAACAAAGTTGCTCGAACGGGTCGCCGTGCGACGACGACGACAACGACGTCTGCAACGCCCATGGCGAGTGCCTCAACGCATTCAAAACGTACGGCGTCAAGTGCCCGGGAAAGAGTTGCTCCAACGGCGGCGCCTGCGACGACGATGACAACGACTTTTGTGACGCCCGCGGCGAGTGCGTGAGCGCGTTCAAACCGGCGCGCACCACGTGTCGGCCATCCACCGGGGGGTGCGATGTCGCCGAGACGTGCTCGGGCTCGTCGGGCACCTGCCCCCCGGACAAATTTGCAAACAAGGGCGCGCGCTGCGCGGGTACATCCACCGGCGGCGCATGCGATGGACAAGATGTCTGTGATGGCAACGGTCAGTGCATCGATATCTATCTGCCCTCGACCACCGTGTGCCGTAAAGCGGCGAGCACGTGCGATGTTGCCGAGAGCTGCACCGGCAGCGCCGGCGCCTGCCCTGCCGACGCCTACGCCAGTGCACATACACCGTGTGTGGGTGCTTTGAACAGCGGTTTCTGCGACGACCAAGACTATTGTGACGGCAACGGCAAGTGCGTCGACAAGTTCAAGTCGTCGACCGTCGTGTGTCGTGCCGCGACTGGCGTCTGTGACGTCGCCGAGATGTGCACCGGTTCCTCGAGCAAATGCCCCACAGACATCTTTGCTAGCGTGGCGACGTCGTGCACGGGTGCCTTCAACATTGGGGATTGCGACGCTGCCGACCATTGCGACGGCAAGGGCAAGTGCGTTGACGCCTATCTACCGTCGAGCACCATGTGTCGGGCGGCTGCTACCCCGTGCGATGTGGCCGAGTATTGCACGGGATCCGCTAGCAAGTGTCCCGCTGACGCATTTGCAAGTTCGAAAACCAAATGCAAAGGCACGTGCAACGACAATCCGTGCGACGGCGACGACTACTGCGACGGCAATGGCGCCTGCGTCGATGGGTACCTCTCCGAGGGCACGGTCTGCGGCGACACCAGTAAGGGACCTTGCACGATTCCCGCGGTTTGTACGGGTGACATGGGCTTTTGCCCCCTGACAGCTACGCCGACTCGAGCGTGACGTGTTCGGGCACGAGCTCGGGCAACGTTTGCGACGGCATCGACAGGTGCGACGGCGGTGGCAACTGTGTCGATCGGTTCCTGAAAAACGTCGTGTGTCAAAAACCCGTCGGGTATGCGCGCCCTACGTACTGCAACGGCAAGCAAGCAACGTGTCCCGTGGCCTATCTCGACACCAACTTGCGCGACGCGGCACCCGAGCTCGTCGCGACCCACGAAAGGTCCGCGCCGGCCTTTCTACTCGGCCTACTCTGTGCGGCGGCGGTCGGTGTCGCCTTTGTCACGATGCGTTCGAGCCATGGACCAATCGAGCACGATGGCTACGTTGCCATGTGAGCGTCGACTTGGATTTTGAACCGACCTTTGTCGAGGAGGCTAGTTTTACGAATCGACCAGACCATTTTTGTGCGATACAATGAAATTGGCCATAAAATATGTACGAGTCTTGTGATGAAGGTAAGCCACACTGAAAGTTAAGCTTCCGCCTCCACTAGCTGTGTGCTGCCTCGCCCGCGCCATCCTGCACTGAGCACTGTTGAACGGGGCAACTCTTCTTTGTACCCGAAACGACGCAAATGAAGATCGGGCGTTCCGATTGGCTACCGCCAATCCTGAACCGTCGCGACGCTTGCACTCGGTTTCACTTGCAATGTTTCGACTATGGCGCCTCGTGTGGACGGCGGCGGCGGCGGCGGTCGCTGCGGACTACGTGATCGATCGCATGCCAGTATGCGTCACGATTGCCCACTGCCCCATTCTGCCCTGCCACGACCTCGTTGCGTGCTCGACGACCGGGCACTGCCAGTACACTAAACACACCAAAGGTACCCTCTGTCCGTCTCAGGGGTGCTCGAACGGTGGCTTCTGTGACGACGACGCCAACGATGCGTGCGACGCCGACGGTGAGTGCGTCGACGGCTTCTTCCCGTCGACGTATGTCTGCCGCTGGCCTCTTGGCGACTGCGACGTGCCTGAACTCTGCACGGGGTATTCGGGCACGTGCCCCGACGATGCCCTCGCCGCCTTTGGCGCCCCTTGCACGGGAATCGCCAACGGAGCGCCCTGCGACGGCCAAGATATCTGTGACGGCAATGGTGCCTGCATCGACCAGCTTGAGCCCGCCGGCGCCATGTGCAACGGCGACGTCGAGGCCAACCCGTGCATTATTCCTGGAACGTGCTGTGGCACAACACGAACCTGCTCGGCGCCACGGAAGGCGCGTGTCGGTACGCCGTGCACGGGCGAAAGCCAAGGCCAAGTGTGCGATGCCCCTGATACGTGCGACGGCGACGGACGCTGTGTCGACCGCTTCGAGCACGGCACGATCTGCAAGATCGCGCTGGATTACTCCCGCGCCGTGTTCTGCAATGGCCGGACAGGAGCCTGCCCCGTATCGAGCTTCATGGAAGCTAGCGACGTCGAAACGACAGGAAACGAGGTCGCCAAGGCGAGCGCTGAGACGAGTAGCAACGTGCTTGTTGCCCACTCGTCGCCGTCGTTGCTCGTAGTCGGCGTCATCGGCGTCGTCGTCGGTGGTATTGCTGTCGCGGCGTACATGCGTCAATCCAACGTGACGCCCGGGGACTACGTAGCCCTTTCTCTTTAAACCAGCGAAAGTCGTAGATAAATCAAATAAATGGACATGAGTGCGGAAGAGACAGTGCAGTCTAGAGACCTGACATGGCCGTTCTGGTGTGTCCACCAAGACCATGCGACTATCCCAACACTCACTTTGCAAATTGCCCCAACAACGCCAACACCATCATGATGACCATCGCTCGTTTTCTCCTGATCGCCGCCGCCATGGTGGCTGGTCAGGATGCCACCGATGCACCGGTGCTGAGCGCCCTCATCCTTGCGCCGACCTCAGCTGGGTCCGGCGCCGGTAGCCAAGAAACCAACCAAGAAACCAATCAAGACGTTCCCGCGGAGACTGGCGCACTTCGTTCATCGACAGAGATCAGCGACCAAATCAACGATCATGACAACCGCCGTACCCGCCAAGGCGGCCCCACTGTTGGCTACGGCAACCAAGGCGTTGGCTACGGCAACCAAGGTGCTGGTTACGGCAACCAAGGCACTGGCTATGGCAACCAAGGCGCTGGCTATGGCAACCGAGGCGCTGGCTATGGCAACCAAGGAGCTGGCTATAGCAAGCCGGCGTACGGTCTGTGGAACAGCGGTGCCAACGGCGGACATGGCCAGCGCGTGGAGGGCTGCGCTCCGGCTACGGTGCCAGTGGCTACGGACGCGGCTACGGCGCTGGCAACGCCGGCTACCGTCTGTAATTTAGTGCCATCTCAGTAATGGAGCTATAAACAGTCATTTGTACAATGATAATACTGTACATGTACCACACGATGCAACGTCCCCCTCCTCGCACCGATATCGTTTTTGCTTGCGCGCTGTTTTCACACTGCTCTAAGCACACGATCACTCTATTTAGGATCATCACCGCCGGTCCGATTCGGTCCTAATTAGGACTTTGAAACCAGGCCTCTCGCCCAACCTCGATTGTCTGACGTCATCTTGTCGCTTGCCAGCAGTATGGAGTCGGTCGAGCCGCTGCCACTGCGGGAAGCGCTGCCGCCGATCCTCGAGTTCTATGGCCACCTCCTCGGCTACTGCGCCGTGCTTGGCCTCATCTACCTCTTCACCGTGCGCTGCGCCGAGCGCTTCGAGGAGAAGCCGCCCACGGTAACGCATGCATGCGAGCTTCCGACGCCTGACGATGGGTGTAGGAGCGGCCGGTGCTGTCGACGGACCTCATGCAAGAGATGAGCGATGCCGAAGACGACAGCGACGAGGTAGAGCCCGCCAAGGACGAGCCCATTGAAGAGATCGACACGGACAACATGCTCAAAGGTACAAGCTGCGATGCATGTGCATGGAGGATGGGCTTCTCATACCCATGCATGCTAGCCGACGGCTCCAAGAACGAAAAGGCGCATCCGTACACGATATGCGACTGCGTCTTGCGCATGCTGCTGATGTGGCTGGTGTAGGGCGCCCAAGAAAGCAGCGCCCAAGCCGACGCCGGGGGCGTTCCCCAAGGAGCTCAACCCGCTCACGTACCAGCCCAAGGAAGACGAGAACGTCTCGTTCGTGGACCTCCACAACGCCATGCTCAACCGCTACAAGGTAGCATGATGTGTCCATGGACGTCGTCGGATGCCATGGCATTATTTGGTAGCAAAAGTATCCCGAGCATGGACCCAACGTCGCGGGCCCCGCCGTCGACGACGACTACGACGACGAGATGAAGGAGCTCATGGCCAAGCACCTGCCCGAAGAGCTCCGGCAGCGCCGCGCGAAAAAGCCATGAGATCGATCCCAACAGAGAGATGACGAGATGATGATACTACGGACTACATAGTGAGGTTCTTAGACGAGGCTCTGCGGCGTGTCCATCATGGGTTGGTACGGCGGCTGCGGGCTGAGCGCCGTTGTGGGCTGCTCGTCGGCCAGTGGCGGGCGACTCGCAAAGAGATTCATCGACGACCGGGGCGTCACGGGGTCGACCGAGAGAAAGGTGTCGTTGGCCGCGTACACGGGTCGCCGACTACTGACGGACGACGATGATGACGCGAAGGACGGCCGGTGGTCCTCGGTCGAGAGGGCGTCGTGGAGCTCTGCGTTCTCGCCATGCAGATCAAAGATGAGCTCCTTCACGACCCGGCGTTGAAACCGGTCCATGTAGATGGCGGGCTTGACGACCGAGATACCACCTCGATCCTGCTGGAGGACGTAAACCCGCACAAAGTGTTCGACGCGCTTTCGCAGATTCCACTAAGTTGAAACATGCCGCGACTCGAAAAAGGACGAAATGACACACTAAATACCTGCTGCAAAATGTCGATGAGGCCCATGAAGTAGACACCGGGGCCGTAGACTTCCTCGACGCTCATGCCACCCAAATTGGCTTGGTGGAACGGCTTCTCGTCCGGTGACGTCGTCGCCGACGGCGCGTCGACGCGGAACGACCGGTGGTGGATGCCCACGAGGAGGCTATAGTCGATGCAGTTGATTTCTTGGAGAAAATGCGAGTCCACTTGCAGCTGCTTGGCGACGCGCCGCGCAATGTGCCGCGGCAGCTTCATGTGGTGGTTCCAGTTGAGGTCTTTGCCAACATTGTCATACGCGTGGCGGACATTCCCGCCGTTGAGGTCACACATTTGGTCGTGCGTGCCGCCAATCACATACTCCTTCGCACAGTACTTGCAGACCACCGTGGTGCCGCGCGTCTTGCGGCCCTCGAGCCGGCCGACCCACGACCCCTACCCCTTGTTTTAGCCCGACCCCTATGTTTGAAAAAAGAGGGTACCTTGAGATCAAAGCGCTCGTGGATTTGAAGCGGCGTGTCAAATACGCTTTGCATGACGATGAAGAAGACGGTCTTGCCATACATGGTCAGTGCATGGCAGCCGACAAACTTGGTGACAAACGTATCGGGGTGGGCGGCCATAAACCTAGAAAAAGGTCGTATTTTCAAACAATATTTTGAGAAAGACGGACGTGACGTATTTGGGTAGGATGAGCAAGAGGAACTTGAGTTCTTCGTGCGTGAGGGTCTTGACGAGGTACTTGCGGTCTTGGGTAAAGTAAAAGAAGGCGCCCGACTTGCCCTCGCTCACGCGCTCTTGGGTCGTCTCCTTCAACGCGTCGCGGTAGCTCGCGTTCGAGACGTGCGCAATGCTCCGGAGGTACCGAAAGATGTGCGGCGCGTAGTCGTAAAAGATGACTGTGTTGGACTCTTCTTGACGCAAGACGATTTCCTCGATCTGCGTGTACTTGATGTGCCGGTCCGTGCCAATGCCTTCGATGGCTTGGACCTCGGCGCGCGCGATCGACTCGCAGATGCCGCGTGTCGTGAACGTGAGGATCTCGAGCCGCAGCGCCCAGTTGATGCTGTTGTCGTGCGGCGGCAGGTCGACGTACCTACTCCAACTGGATTAGACACCGACCAAAAAGTTTTTACAATGGCAAGAAATTCTTGCAATCCCACGAAATGTCCAAAATTCGTACCCAAATTCACGGAGCTGCGAAATGATCTTGAGAATATTCGACGTGCGCGTCCAGATGACCGAGTTGACCATGCCTTTGGAGAGGAGCACGGACGAGAGGAACTGCCACGCTTGGCACTTGTAGTGCGAGCTGTACGGAATGAACGTGTAGACAGCATAGGTCACGAGGACACCGGTCCAGTAAAACACAAAGCAGCCCACATAGTACTTGAGGTGGCGGTGGATGCTACATCCATGAAATTGTCATTTTGTACACTTTCCGCCATCCATGTGATAAAAATATGTACCGTTTTCGCGTCATGAAGGTATCGGGCAGCCCTTTCAAGAGCGTATTCCACGTCCGAAGAATCGCGTAGAGCGAAATCGAGTAGATGACGAGGATGTACAAGGCGAAGAAGATGCCCGCGGGCGCGGCCCGGCGCTGGCTCAGCGGCCACGCGAGGCGCGCCGACGTCGTGTCCATCCAGCAAAACCCAAAGAGCGCGTCGTACGAGTCGATACGCGAGACGAGTGCAAACACGATGCTAGTATCGCCAGGATCATCTTCGCCACCGCTACAATCATGGGCGTACCTTCCGAGGCAGCCGGCGACGTGGTAGTAGTTCATCTGCCCCTTGGACGTCGTGAAAGGGTTCTTGAGCGCGAGGAGAAGGTCGATGGCGAAGATGAGCATGTACGTTTCTTGGCCCGTGAGCGCGAGGTCGACGATGAACGGCGTCGAGATGCACTCGGTCGCGCCGCCCGACGCTTCGATGAGGTACAAGAACTGATAGAACGCGCCGTAGACGCTCATGCCGAACATGATGCCGGCCGGGTGCTGCCGCAGCGCGGGCACGTACAGGTACGTGGCCATAACGTAGACGCAGCCGGCGAGCGACATGACCGAGACGGCCATGAGGAGGCCGTTCCCGGCGCACGTCGGGCCGCTGTCGTCGGCCATGAGAGAGTCTGAATAAGGCCAGGGCGCGCCGACTCGTCGGAGATGCCGGAATCCGAGGCCGTGTTCCGAGAACGGACCGGACGAGGTAACGCTGCCTTTTTCAAGTGAAACGACCCGCCCTTGCCACTGGCATCTATCACTCAACCCAGTTGGCACTCATGCTCTCGAGCCGAATGAAGCACAAGTCGTCTAGCACTCATATCCAGTGTATGCAGTAGGATGAGTAGCATCGAGACTGGATGGTCGCTAGGCTGGCATCTCCGAGGCCAACTGAGTCGCCTCCAGAGACGTAAAATAGTGTGCCCCCGATCCTCCCGACTCGCGCTAAAGCCCGACGCGATCAGCGGCACGTTGGTTTTAATAGCAAGAGGACCCTCGTCGATATCAAGGGGACCCTTCTGCACACGTGGACACAACATGTAGAGGTGCACTGACCACTGTGCCCAGTGAACTGGACGCCATAAAGTACAGCGCAGCAGGTCGACTGCACTACCCCGCTACTATATATTTCTCACATGCCCTTGCTACCACAAGAAGCTCCCCGAATAGCTAGGTGAGCGCTGCGATGCACCGAGAGATGGCGGCCGTTTGCATGTACCCTTTTCGTTTTGAACCAGGGGTACAATTATGTACCCCTGTTTCGAACCCGCCATGCATCTCGAGGTCCATGCATGAGAGTGTACATTGTCCATTGGTCGTCATTGGCGCGCCCTCTCTGCGTACTAGCATGCGTCAATGAGTAGTAGCGTGCGTGCAAACACCCGTTCGAGCGACGACGCCAGTGCCACCGCGCCATTGAAATTGACGGGCCACGTCGGTCGGCAGAAAGCCTCCCCAAAAACGGGCCTTTTCGTTGCCGTTGGAGGTGACGGCCTGTCCTACGTCGCCCCTGTCCCGTTGAAAGAAAAGCATTCGATTTGGCCGAACGCACTGGACAAAATGCGGGCCAAGACGAACACGAAAACGACCGAGTGGGTTGTGTTGCCGCCCAACACGACGGGGTTTGTGATTGGCGCCAAGGGCGTGCACATGCAGCGGCTCCGCGCCGTC